GCTACTGCCTCACCTCACAGCAGAAGATCAAGGGCACGTGGCAGCACTGGTCACATAATCAACAGAACATGCCCCAGAATAATTAAATGTTTCAGAACAGTAACAGCAAAGCAGTTAATCAAGTGCGATCCCTCTGAGAGTGGGGCCCTGTGCAATGCAGGGGTCAGACAGCCAGCAGGCTCAGCAGTGGGGTGAGTGGAGCCCTGGCCCAGGCTGAAACTCCAGTGTACAGGAAATGAAACCAGGCCTGTGAATACTCAGGGAAGAAGGATCCTTAGAGATCACCTGGCTCAGTTCCCTCCATGTCCAGTTGCAGAATCCAAGATCCAAGCTCACCCAGCAAATTGGTGGCAGACCCAGATCAGAGTCCCAGCCCTGGGGCCCTCCTTCTCCCTCTTGCTCTCCCCTGTCTCTTCTTTCCTGAGGTGGTCTCATCCTATGCAATGTCCATATAAAAACCATCCACATGCTGACAGCTTGCAAATGTCTATCCTCCATCTCCTTCACCTATCTCTCCCCCGCTCAAGTCCTGTGTCCGGCCGTTCCCAATTGCAGTGGCCTCTTGCTTCCTCTTCTCCCCTGCTTCCTCCCTCACCCCGTCCAGCCTGTTCCTCCTCTAGCGCACACATGCACACAGCTACCAGGGTGTGAGTTTCCAATCTGTGACCTGGATCCTGCTGCAGTACTGCTCTCAGCCCATGGCATTGCCCACAGATTACACTCCAGCCTCACCAGCACAGCCTCCAAGATCAGGTCCTGCAGTTTCTGTCATGACCATCTGTCCTCTCACTCTGCTGCCACCACAGTGACCTTGCTGTGGCTCATATGTGCCCAGCTCATGCCTGCCCTGAATGTGCATTCCTCTCTCTGGAGCATTCTTCTCCTAGAATTCCCTATGACTTCCACTTCCTTCATTCAGTTTTCAGCTCACAGGGCCCTCCCCAGAGAAGGCTTCCTGTGCACACGGTCCAAAATACACCCCGCCACCCTCTATCCCCTGCCTTCTTTATTTTTCTTCATACCAGTTAACCTCCCTGGAATTATACTGCATATTTATTTCTTTATATTTACTATCTTGCTCACTGCTCAGTTGCTCTGTGCCCCGAATGATGCCTGCTACATAACTGGCACTCCATAAAGGATTGTTGTAAGAATGAGTAAGTCAACGATGAAACAAATTTATTTAACACACGCATGTTCAGGGGCTAGTCAGTATCAGGGGCTGTGCGAGGCACTGAGGTCTCAGACACGGAGCAAGTAGACAATGAAGGGTTCCTGTCCTCAAGGAGGCTGATCGTTGTCTTGGGAAGTCCTGAACCTGTGTTTGCAGGAGGCTCAGAGTGACATGTGCAGCTTGTCGAGGCTGAGTCTAAGAAGACGGGGTGAGGGTAAAAGATCCATGGGTCCCTGCAGCAAGGAATTGTATTTCAAGGGACATCAGTGTCCCTGTTATAAAGAGCTAGCAGCTCTGTTTCTTCTTTGGTCTCTCAGCCTGTTCGGCCAGCACAGAGGCCCATACTCATGATGAGGCCTCTTGGGGCCCCAGCTCCCATAACAGGTTGTACTTATAGAGTAGGTGAGAGCCAGTTCTTGCTGGTGTAGAATAAGGAAGAAGACTGACGTGACTCTACTCAGAGGAAGTCGAGCCTTACCCAGTTGACTCATGGCCCCACCTGGGCGATCCCTGTGGCTACCTTGGCATTCCTCAGGCCACCCCTTGGAAAACCCTGCTGGGAATACTCTGGACCCCTTTGTGGTCACTGAGCAACCCCAAGCTTCTGGAAGAATTGGCAAAACCCAAGCTATCTGAAATAACAAGAAGAAATTGTTGTTGATATTTAACCTATAAATTCTCTTAGAATTTGGTTTCCCCAAAATGAGTTATTTGCTTTGTGATGTTTGTTACTTACTGTATCGATTATATTTGAGAAAATGCAGAATAATGTGAAATGCTAAGCTGTGACTTGTAACTTTGGCTCTGCTGAACTGTTCTGGTAGAAACAGGAACTCTGTGAAAAGGACTAACCACATAACTTGACCACCGGAGAGAGATGACAGCACGTGACAGGCTTCTCGTTGCAAAGAGCCTATAAATGGCCGTGTAATGGAGAGGCTCATTACCCAGATTCCTTTCCCAGGAAAGGCATATTGATGAGGGCCCTGGAAAGGGAACGCGACCCTTATGAAGAGCCTATGAAGGGACGCCTGAGGGGTGCCTGTCTCTGTGGTTGAGATAAGGATGTAAAAGTCCTTCTTCTCCCACTGCTCCTCCAGGCCTGCACGGAGGCCCCTCCTCTTGCAGATTTTGTGGTCAGGCTGGTTGTCCTGTGTCAGACCCTGTTCCCCCTGCAGCTGTGAGCCCAATATGTTCTTGTTGATGATCATAAGTTTATGTTCAACCTTCAGTCTTGCTAAGGTGTATGATTTCTATGCTGACACACCGAAAGTTATCTTTACATTGTTCTGCTTTTATAATACCACGTTGTGATTTTTGTGCACTAGTTTTTGCAAATGTATTCTTTTTGTATAATTATCACTGAAACTTTGGGTAACTTTACTCCCCCTCCCCTGTTGAAAGAGCACAATGAAAAACTGAGGTTTTCAGAGGAATGTCAGACATCCATGGAGCAGCATTATGTGGCGTCTCCCCGGGCCAAGCTTTAAGGAAAACTTTCCTTGTCTCTCTTTCTTTTTCACCAACCACTCAATCACTTTGAGAGATCTTAAACCCATGTTGATGTATTGGGAGCTGGTCTCGCCAATAAAACCCCATCTTCCCACTTCCCCTTTAGCCTTCTAGCCTCACAAGGCAGGCAGGCCAATCCCCTGGCTGCCCTCCCACTGCAGCCTAGCCCTGGTGTCACCAGTCTTCTCCTTCCATGTAGATTGTATGATCTAAAGCTCAAGGGCAGATGCAGGAGCCCTGAAGGAAGCCCACTTCCTCCAGGAAGCCTTCTCTGCTTTCTCAGTGGGAGTGCTTCCTTCTTCCCTTACCCTGTAGCACGTACCCTCTTCTTAGTTTGTTTACCCATGGATCCATCCATCCATCCATCCATCCATCAAACATTCATCCAGCACTTATTTACACTAGTGACCAAGGACATGGTCCCTATCCTCCAGAGCTTACAGTCTAATAAAGGGAAAGACTTATTATATAACAGTTTCAAGTTAACAGTTAATAATTTAATTATAACTGTGATAAATGCTCTGCAAGAGAAGTATTTGAACCCACGAGGAGACATTATGGTAGGAAAGACTTCCCTGATGAAGGAATGTTTCACCTAAGACCTCACTGTCCACTATGGTAGCCAGTAGCTGCATGTGACAATTGAGCACCTGAAATGTGGCTAGTTTCACCAAGGAACTGAGGCTAGATAAATAATTGTATCAAACTTTATAGAATGACTATTCTATGTCAGGCCCTGTTAGGGCTAGGTCCAAACTAGTCTGGTCGAAAATGCCAACGTTATGTCTAGTTCAGCATCCACCGCCTCCCCTGACTCCAGCTGGGTGCTGCCCCCAAGTCCCTGCTGAGGGATCTGGAAGGGATGGAGATGAGGCATTTTTTTGTTCCTCCTCCTTTCCCTGAATTGGGTCCATGTATCATCTGATGTGTTAGGGCCCAGGAGGGGAGATGGAGAAAGAGGGACCTCTTTTACCCAACAATCCTCTGTTCACTATGGCTGGAATCTGGAAGCCAGCTTCCTCGCGGGGCACAGGTGTGGGTTCCTAGGAGGATCCTCACTGTGTGCGTGCATGTGCGTGTGTGTGTGTGCCCATGTGTGTGCATGCGGTGGGAATACATAGTCCGCTGCACGGTCTCTCTTATGCACAGTCTGATCCAGGTTCATAGCTTCCCCCCAGAGTCCATGCTGCCGGCTCGTCCTCCTAGGCCCTCTTGCCAATCATCTCTCTTGAGTGGGATGCTCTAAGCTTGGCTCCCACCTTCAGTGGGGGTCTCCCCATGTACCTCACCCCTTGCCACTCTGTATGGAGGAAGCGTGAGCTGCTGCCCTGCCACCCCGTCACTCCGCCCTGCCATCTCTTTTCAGCTCCTTTTCCTCTGGCTCAGGACAACATCCAAGTGGATCGGCAAATCCACTGTTGCTTCAGCAGACACTGGAAAAGGAGCCAGCCTCCTCCTGCAGGCACCCGGTCTCTAGGAGTCACTTTGCAGTGCCTTGCTTGGCTGAGTGGCGGTGGGGGGTTGTGAGGTCAGGGGGAGTTTCCATAACAGCCTCCCTGAGGCTGACAACTCCTCTCAGTCCTCTCCCTCCACGTCAGCAGAGCGTATAGACCCCAACGAGTTGGTGCGGCTGGGGAGCAGGCTGGGCTTGGCTGCTTTGTAATCAGTCTTGAGAACGTACCTGGCCCCAAAGGTCCATTTGTTATTATCCAGTGTCTATTTTGTGCCCAGCGCCGTGTGGCTACTGCTGACGGCCATGAACAAACGGCAGTAGTCTTCAGGGGAAACCGCTTTTCATGAGGGAAATGGATAAAAACAAATAAGTATTCATCAGAGCTAACCACTGGAAAGCCAAGTAAAGCAGGGTGAGGAGATGGAGAGAGACCAAAGGGAGAGGCTGTTTTCACAGGGAGGTCGGGGAAACCGGTGGCTGCGTTTCAAATTCACCTCTCCCCAACATGGAGCCTAGCAGACAATTCGGGCCATGGGAAATCCACGCTGACATCGTGTAAGCCTAGTTAAGGCAAGGGTTGGGTTTCAAAGTCTAGGCTCTTTGTTGGTTGCACGTGGTTGTGTATGTCAAGGCTCACTTCTCAACCCTCTGGGCCCATGTCTGATCCATTCTGCATTCCCAGAAGCCGTGTCTGGCTACTGAAGACTTGGTCACACTAGTGACCAAGGACATGGCAGGCTCTTGATGCTGCTTGTTCAGCATGGAGGAGCCTCCAGGCGAAGGGACATCAAGGCTCAGCATATCACAGGCCAGCTCTGTGGCTTGAAGCTTCAGGCAGAGCTCAGCCACTTCCCAGTCTTGCTCATGGGGAACCAGAGATAGTCGGAACTCAGTCAAAGGCCCCAGATGCCTCTCTGGCTGGAGAACTCAGGCCTGAAGGTTTGGGGCTTGGAAGGAGCCCTTGACCACAGTGACCACTTCTCTCACTGTGGCTCAAACCCCTGCTCCAGACACAGTGGGGAATGGGGTGGGCTGACCAGCTGGGAAGTATAAGGCCTGCTCCAGAGGCCGGTCAGTGGCTCTTGGGCTCTTTCAGGGCCGTATCCAGTGGTTGTCACCAGGAACAGACCGGGAGCACTGTGAGTGAATCTCTCACCATGGCTACCACACCTGCATGGGCCCTGGGCTCCCTCCTACCCACCCTTCTCCTGGGATTCACAGGTGAGTTCTGATTCCTGCTCAGAGAGACCCTCAGGGCAGATGTGGAGATCCCCAGGAATGACCAAATCCAGCCACTGTGTCTTCCTGAAGGGAGATTGAGGTTCAGAGGACGTGACTAAGCTGTTTTCCTGCCAGACAGGTGCTGGTTTTCATCTTTTCTTCAATGTAGATCCTGGACACAAAGGGAGTTGGTGGGAGCTTGGGGATCAGAGGAGGAAGTGACCTAAGGGTGAGGGGTTCAGGGGAGGTCAGGGGGTAAAAGAGGAGCCCACCTCCCAGTTTTCCTGACATCAGCTCTAGTCTGGGTGTCTACCTGTTCTAGGTCAGAGAAGGTGTAAGCGTGAGAAAGACGAGAGAGAGAGAGAGAAAGAAAAAGAGAGAGAAGTTGCCTGAGTGATGGAGCCTCCAGCATTGGAGTTCTAGACCCAAAGTCAGAAGGTCTCCTCACCCTCTCTCCTTAGCCCCTTATAGGCTGTGTGACCTTGAACAAGTCACAAAACCTTTCTGAGTCTCTGTTTCCTCTTCTGGAAAGTGAGGACCATAATACCAGCCTCCCAAAGTTGGGATGTGGAGGAAAAGGAGCACACACAGCCGAAATGTTTTTGGGCCCACACAGTGCTGTGCGCGGGTGGGGTGATGAAGGCTGTGTGCTAAGAGGACAAGCTCCCATGGCCTCTGTGCTGCCCTCTGCCACTTATCATCCTGCTTGTCATTGGTTGGTTATGTGCCTTCTTCCCCCGCGACCTGACCAGATGCTTCTTGAGGGTAGGTCCTGTCTGACCTAACTCTGTGGCCTCAGCACCCAACTCTCGACCTGGCGCAGGGCAGGGGCTCAGGGAATGCTGTGAAGACTTGCAGAGGTCCCTGCTCCAGAGCTCTGCAGGGCTGTCCTTAGGAGAATGCGTGAGTCTCATCCTGCAGTTTTCCTGGGAAAATTCTGGGAGACAGATCTCAGGTTATATCCCGGAAGCAGGAAATATTTTGTCATAGTCCTAGCTTCATGTGAGGGTGAATGGAGCTGCTTCTTGTGGAGAAAGCTCCCTGTCACTGGAGGTAAGCAAGCAGATGCCGGGTGTCTAGCGAGCTGTTGATGGGAGGGACCCGCATAGATGGGGCAACCATCCCTGTTGGGGTGCTCCTTAACTTCACACTCAAGTCCTGATAAACTGACATCCACAGAGGAAACCCTGATTCATCACCATTCCCTTCCTATCCCAACTCAGTCTTTCTCCAGTTCTTCCTGTCTCAGAAAGTAGAGCTACCACCCACACAGCTGCTTTAGAGAAAACCTGGGAATTGTTGATCCATAATGCATTCTGCGCCTCACCCTCGATCCTGTCCATCACTGGGTCATGTGGGTTGTACCTTCCAAATGTGTCTCGAGTCACCCTAGTCCAGGCCACCGTCACCTTGGCCTGCAGGCCCGGACCAGCTTCCCCTCTGGTCTCCCTGCCTCCATTCCTGCCACCCCACTTCCCGTTCTTCACACAGCGACCCAGTTATCCTCTAAAAAATGGACGTCAGACCACTTTTCTGCTCTGTCAAAGTCTCTACTGGCTTCCCATCACTCTTAGAATAGAATCAAGATCATCACCATGGCCCACAGGCTCTTCTCAGTCTGGACCTTTTGCCATGACACGAGGGTCCTACAGACTTCTCAGGTTCTCAAGCCCACCCAGCTCTTCCTACCTGAGGGCCTTCTCTCCTGCTGTCTCCACTGTCTGGAATGTGCTTCCTCTGTCCCTTCCCACGGCCAGCTCCTATTCATTCCTGTTTCAGCTCAGTGATCACCCCCTCAAGGAATTCTTCCCCAGCTGCCCTTCTAGAATAAGTCCTCTCCATATTCTTCCTCTGTGCACTTCTCGGTGAGGGCATTGGACCCAGCAGTAAACACATTTGCATTTGCTTGTTTTCCTGTGATCACATGCCTATATGCTGCCTGAGGACAGACCTAGACATGGCACATAGTAGGTCCGCAGGGTCTGACACACCTCTGGTGCCGTGTGTGTCCCACCCTCAGTGTGCAGTCACAGTCGCTCTCTTTCCTTAGCTGGCCAGCCCTTCATCTCTCTGACTGGTCCATCTCAGAGGACAACCCCTGGAGACTCGGTGCCTTTCAACTGTACTGCTGGCCCCTTCAACTCCCAGCACTTTTCCCAGGATGTCAATGTTACCTGGTGGAAGGACAGTGATGAACATCCAGCCTCAGCCCAGCGCCTGGTGCCTGGCAATGAAGGCAATGACTTCATCACCAGCAAGGCATGGGTGACACTGGCCCGACAGGATGTCTCATCAGAGATCACCTGCAAAGTCACCCACAGGGCCCTGGCACAGCCCCTGCAAACAACCATGAAGCTCTCCCAAGTACTCCGAGGTGAACAGGCAGTTGGGTGGGGTGGACATTCGCCTTGGGAGCATCAGCTTTCAGGGTTTTTGCCCAAAGCCCCATTTCATGAATGGGGAAATAAAATTCCTCATTGATTTCTGATCATGTGTATAGTGGTTATAAATGCAGGTTCCGGGGACTCACCGACTGTCTGGGTTTAATCCTAGCTGTGCCACTTTACAACTTGTGGGATCTTGCAAGTTACTTGACTATTTGGTGCCAGTTTCTTTATATAATGGGAATAAAATGAAGACCTATTTCATAGGTGTCCTGTGAAGATTAAATGAGTTATTCCTTGTAAAACATGCATATCAGTGCCTGGCATGCAGTAACTTACTTACGAATGTGTGATCTTGTTATTATCTCATCCCAGACTCTCTTTCTAAACATCTTTGTTCTATTAATGTCATTGTTATGGTTTTTTTTAATTTAAAATGTTTATTACTCATTTAATAATAATGAATAATGAATATCCACTGCATGCCAGACATGGTGCTCAGTGCTGGGGATACAGCAACGAGCAAAATAAAGTCCCTGTCCTCCTGGGCATCGCCTTTTACTAATTCTCAAAATTATATTTTATGATATGAAATATTTCAAAAATACAGAATATAGCAGACACGCATGGACCCTTACCCATATTTAATGAATATTAACATTTAGCCCTTTTTGCTTTAGATCACACATACAAGAAAAAATTATTTTTGTATTTTGTATTTGTATGACAAGGGACCTTGAGGCTGGTCCCTGGGAGGAGGAAGGGGCCGACCTCACCAGACCCTGTTCGTATTCCTCTGTCTAGTTGTCCCCACCCTGAAGATCACCACCGAACACTCTGGGACCAGCGTACGTGCGCAACACAGAGTGAATCTCACCTGCCACGTCCGTCACTTCTATCCCCGCCACCTGCAACTCACCTGGATGCAGAACAGGCGCATGATCCAGACCCTGGTGTCCCCTCAGGCCACCAGAAATCCAGATGGGACATATTCTCTGGAGCACACATGGCAGGCAGAGGTCACGCCAGATGAGCATGAGTTTGCTTGCTGGGTGGTCCACGATGAGCAGCCCCCGCTCAAGACCAACATCACCCTACAAGCCCAGGAGCACAGGCAGGGGAAAGGTGGGTGCAGCCTCTGGCCCAGCCCCTCTGGGCATCCCCTGTGGGCAGCACGGCTGGGGAGGGTTAGAGACTCAGGGTGGCATTGGATGAAGGTGAAGGAAGAATGGGTACCTTCGCTGGTGACAAAGCTCTCACCCATTTGTCCCCAAACTCCACTCCTCACTCCTTCCTCCACACCCTCCCCAAAAAGAAGGGGTGGGTCTCCCCTTCCCTAATTCCATGCATTTTGATGTTGAAAGTTCACCACCTTAACACTTGACTGCAAGAAATGGCAAAGATTAAGGACTGCTGAGCACCAAAGTCCCGTCTAGAAAGGCTATTAATCAAGACTGGTGCAGTTGGAAGTTTCTGGATGGCAGCTTTAAAGAGAGGCCAGAATTCTGGACTCAGCTGGAAAAGGGTCCATGCAAGGCCTTACATAAGGTCTGGACAGGCCCTTACACGGGGTCAGACTCTTCCCGAGGGTCAATGCAGGCCCTTACAGATCCTTCTCCTCTGCCCTTCCTTTTCCTCCTTGCGTTCCTTCTCCTTCCCTCCTCTTTTTCCTTGTCCTCTTCACTTTCTCCCTTTTTTGAGTGTTTTTATATTATCTTTTTTTGGACTTGATTTAAGTTCAGGGGTCCATGTGCAGATTTTCATATGGGTTAATTGTGTGTTGGGGGAGTATAGTGTGCCGCCTCTGTTATTTTTTGACCTTTTAATAATGGCCGTTCTGGCTGGTGTGGGAGGGTATTTATTATGGTGTTGTTTGTTTTTTTGTTTGTTAATTTATTCAAGTTCCTTACAGATTCCGGATCTTAGCCCTTTGTCGGATGCATAGTTTGCGAATATTTTCTCCCATTTTGTGGGTTGTCTGTGGGTTGGTTTTGCTGAGAGTTTCTGTGGCTGGCCTTGCCTTCCGGAATCT